ACGCTTCACTGTGTAACAAACAGTGGCAGAACCACCTGACCTGGGCTACAGAGAAGCAGCACTGGACTGTTGCACAGTTGTCCAAAGTACTTTTTTCGGATGAAAGCACATTTTGCATGTCATTCGGAAATCAGGGTGCCAGAGTCCGGAGGAAGACTGGGCAGAGGGAAATGCCAAAATGCCTGTGTTCAGTGTCAAGTACCCACAGTCAGTGATGTCTGGGGTGCCATGTCAGCTGCTGGTGTTGGTCCACTGTGTTGTATCAAGGGCAGGGTCAATGCAGCTAGCTATCGGGAGATTTTGGAGCACTTCATGCTTCCATTTGCTGAAAAGCTTTATGGAGATGAAGATTTCATTTCCAGCACGACCTGGCACCTGCTCACAGTGCCAAAACCACTAGTAAATGGTTTACTGAACATGGTATTACTGTGTTCAACTGGCCTGCCAACTCTCCTGATCTGAACCCCATAGAGAATCTATGGGATATTGTGAAGAGAAAGTTGAGAGAAGCAAGATCCAACACTCTGGATGAGCTTAAGGCCGCTATCGAAGTATCCTGGCCTCCATGACACCTCAGCAGTGCCACAGGCTGATTGCCTCCATGCCACGCCACATTGAAGCAGTGATTTCTGCAAAAGGATTCCCGACCAAGTATTGAGTGAATAACTGAACATAATTATTTGAATGTTGACTTTTTTATTTATTAAAACCACTTATCTTTTATTGGTCGGATGAAATATGCTAATATTTTTAGATAGGAATTTTGGGTGTTCATGAGCTGTATGCCAAAATCATCAATATTAGAAACAATAAAAGGCTTGAACTACTTCAGTTGTGTGTAATGAATCTAATATATATGAAAGTCTAATGTTTATCAGTACATTACAGACAATAATGAACTTTATCACAATATGCTAATTTTTTGAGGACCTGTATGTATGTATATATATATATATATATATATATATATATATATATATATATATATATATATATATATATATAATCATGTTTGCGCAATATTATATTGTACATAGTAAATATAATAGTAGTATAATATTGTACAAGTGTGGTATTGTATGATGTTTGTACAGAAAATTACATTGTACAAATGTGATAAATATGTACATTCCATTCATCCATCTATTTTTATCTGCTTATCCAAAGTCTGGTCGTGGGGGCAGCAGCCTAAGACGAGGCCCAGTCTTCCCTCTCTCCAGCTACTTGGGCCAGCTCCTCCAGGGGTATCCCAAGGCGTTCGCTGGCCCAGTGAGAGACATAGTCCCTCCACCGTGTCCTGGGTCTACCTTTAGGTCTCCTCCCAGTTTGACGTTCCTGAAAACCTCACCAGGGAGGCATCCAGGAGGCATCCTGACCAGATGCCCGAGCAACCTCAACTGGCTCCTCTCAATGTGGAGGAGCAGCGGGTCTACTCCAAGCCCCTCCCGGATGACCGAGCTTATCACCATATCTCTAAGGGAGAGCCCAGCCACTCTTCGGAGAAAACTCATTTCGGCCACTTGTATCCGCGATCTCATTCTTTCAGTCACTACCCAAAGCTCATGGCCACAGGTGAGGGTAGGAACGTAGATCGACCGGTAAATTGAGAACATCGCCTTCTGACTCAGCTCTCTCTTCACCACGACAAACCGGTACAACGCCCGCATCACTGCAGATGCAGCACCAATCCGCCTATCGATCTCACGCTCTAGTTTTCCCTCACTGGTGAACAAGACCCCGAGATACTTAAACTCCACTTGGTGCAGGACCTCATCCCTGATCCGGAGAAGGCATTCTACCCTTTTCCGAATCAATCCGGGCCCCCGAGGGACTCAGTCAAACGCCTTCTCCTAATCCACAAAACACATGTAGACTGGTTGGGCAAATTCCCACGCACCCTCCAGGATCCCTCTAAGGGTATTGAGCTGGTCCAGTGTTCCACGACCAGGACGAAAACCACATTGCTCCTCCTGAATCTGAGGTTCAACAATCCGACGGACCCTCCTCTCCAGAACCCCTGAATAGACCTTACCAGGAAGGCTCAGGAGTGTGATCCCCCTGTAGTTGGAAGAAACCATGCCCCCCCCCCCCCCTTTTTTTTTTTTTTAAGGGGACCAGCACCCCGGTCTGCCAACATCCAGAGCCTTAAGCAACTCCGGGCGGATGTCATCCACCCCTGAAGCCTTGCCACAGAGAAGCTTTTTAACCACCTCAGTGACCTCGGCACCAGAGATGTGAGAGGCCAATCCAAAGTCCCCAGACTCTGCTTCCTCACTGGAAGACATGTCGGTGGGATTGAGGAGGTCTTTAAAGTATCCTGCCCACCAATCCACAACGTCCTGAGTAGAGGTCGGCAGCACACCGTCCCCTAACTCCCCACCAGGTAGTGGTCAGTTGACAGCTCCGCCCCTCTCTTCACCCGAGTGCCCAAGACATGCAGCCGCAGGTCAGATAAAACAACAACAAAGTCGATCATCAAGCTGCGGACTAATAGCCTGGCAAGCCAGACTAAATAAATGTATTATTTAGTCTGGCCACGCTCCATTGACGGCTCTCGGTTGTGGGGCGGGTTCTACCGTTGTCTTTCAAATAATCTCCACATTCCACTGGACAATGAATGTGACATACTCTTGTTTCACTCTGTTGCATCATCCCACCCACCAGCCATATAGAGTGCCCTGATTGGCCCACAAAGCGGTTAAAGCTCTGTGATTTGTTCACTAAGCAGATAGAGCACTATGACTGGCCCACCATTATGGACCAATCACAGCTCTTTGTGTGTTTGAAACCACTCTTGAGAGCTGTGATTGGCTAGCCAGAGTCCTGGTGGGAGCTGCTGAGGTTCCAATGGAGCATGCCTAGACCAAACTTTGCAAAGCAAGAATTTGGTCTAGTTCACTAGGCTAGCGGTCTAAGGTATCCTGGTGCCAAGAGCACATATGGACACCTTTATGTCTGAAAATGGTGTTCATTATGGACAATCCATGACAGGCACAGAAGTCCAATAACAAAACACCACTCAAATTCAGATCAGGGGGGCCGGTCCTCCCAACCACACCTTTTCAGGTCTCACTGTCGTTGCCCACATGAGCATTAAAGTCCCCCAGTAGAACGAGGGAGTCACCAGAAGGAACGCTCTCCAGCACCTCCTCTAAGGTCTCCAAAAAGGGTGGGTATTCTGAACTGTAGTTTGGTGCATAAGCACAGACCACAGTCAGAACCCGTCCCCCCACATGTAGGCGGGGGGAGGCTACCCTCCATTAACCGGGGTAAACCCCAACGTACAGGCATCGAGATGGGGGCAACTAGTATGCCCACCCCTGCTCAATGCCTCTCAGTGGGAGCAACTCCAGAGTGGTAGAAAGTCCAACCCCTCTCAAGGAAACTGGTTCCAGAGCCATGCGTTGAGGTGAGTCCGACTATATCTAGTTGGAACCTCTCAACCTCACACACCAACTCAGGCTCCTTCCCCACCAGAGAGGTGACATTTCATGTGCCAAGAGCCAGCTTCTGTAGCCGAGGATCAGACTGTCAAGATCCTTGCTCTCGACTACCACCCGTCACACACTGCACCCGACCCCTTTGGCCCCTCGCACGGGTGGTGAGCCCTTGGGAAAGAGGGACCCACGGTTCGTCTTCGGGCTGTGCCCGACCGGGCTCCATGGGTGAATGCCTGGCCACCAGGCGCTCGCCAGCATGCCCCACCTCCAGGCCAGGCTCCAGAGGGGGGCCCCGGTGACCCACATCCGGGCGAGGGAACACGGTTTCCATCTATATAATTCATCATAAGAGATCTTCGGGCCGCTCTTTGTCTGATCCCTCACCTAGGACCTGTTTTCCATGGGTTGACCCTACCAGAGGCAGAAAGCCTCAGACAACTTAGCTACTAGGATCATTGAGACACTCAAACCCCTCCACCACGGTAAGGTGACAGAACAAAATACCGTATTGACCCGAATATAGAATAACCCAGACAAAAATAAAACTTTTTTTAAACCGTTTTTATTCTACATTTGAGAACAAATACGGAGCAAAAATTCAATTTTAATGCTAACTATCTGAACTTTGCTGACATGTGAAATCAAAGGTCAAATGAGGCTTTTATTCAGACCCCATCTGCCGTGCTGTACTCGCTCACTCTCATGCTGCTGCGGGGTGTACCATCAGATCATTACACCTGTCGGCTCATCCCACTGAACGTCATCCATTTCTCACTGCTATCCAATGCATCCAGGCATGCATTGTTTGACTCCTCTGCTGAAATATCCACCGTCATCTTAAAATACGCATAACTCTGCCTTATAGCACGTTAACTTGCCCCAATTTTGGTTCACTCTGCTCTGGACCTCTCGTCTCCATTTTTTTCTCTCGTTGAGAACATACAGCCTGGCGGCCTCTGCTTTTATGGGCGTGTAATGCTTAGACCCCGATTATAAGACGACCCCACATTTTTTAATTTTCTTCAATGAAAAAAAAAACCTTGTCTTATATTCGGGTCAGTACAGTACTAAATAGCCGAGACAACAAAAAAATCACTAATGGCCTCTTTGGAAGTGCGATACGGTGCAGCACTTTGCAGAGTTGCATTAGAACAAATCATGATTCTTTTGAAACAGTGTTCTTTAGAAAACTGAGACAAAAGAGATGTTTGGAAATGGAAGCCCACTGTAAAAAATCAGCTCCTAAAAAAGAATCAAATTGTTACAATGGTCCAAATCCAGACCTCAAAACAACATGCTGAGCATAAATCCCACTGAACAAAAGTAACTTTATAAAGAAAGGTGAGATAAAAATACTTCCCAGTGGTGTGAAAAACATTTTAAGTTCAATCATATTAGAAGTAGAATTCACTTTCCGCACAAATTATGCATCTCAACTCAGTTGTTAGTTTAAATATCATAACTCATAACCTGGTTACCAAATATAACATTAGATTTCTAGAATAATAGTCAAAGATGCTCACTGTTTATAAATTATTTCTCTTTATCTCCCCCTTGCAGCCGTGAACGGGGCGGAGGATGTGGCGCTCTATGTGGGCATGGTGGCAGTGGCCTTGTGTCTGACTTTGCTGCTCATCGTCGTCATTCTGGTCTACCGGCGCAAGAAGGAGGGCCTAGATGCTGATGTGGCAGATTCTTCCATCCTCACCACTGGCTTTCAGCCCATGGGCATCAAGCCCAGCAAGCCAGGTGTGTGGGCACCACGGCCACGCAGGCCTCCCCACAGCAGTAGGACACTGTTCTTTGTTTTACCCTTGTCTGTACGTCCTCCCACTGTGGCTGTGCAGCGTCCATCAACATGTAGCACCAGACCTGTTTGTTTGTGGTGTTTACTGTCAAGCCATAAGGATTCATGATTGTGTGTGTGCGTGCGTGTGCGTGTGTGTGTGTGTGTGTGTGTGTGTGTGTGTGTGTGTGTGTGTGTGTTAGACAAGGTGTTTAGTTGCCTGCTTGATAAATTATGTTTGTCCATCGCCTCCTCGTGAGGAAATGTACCCACTCAGTTTACCACCTGTGTGGAGCCTCTGAGGTTTAACAGCAAGTAATAGAAATACAACAGTCTGAGGTGGATGGAGATGTGGAGCTGTGCTGCTGTGCCTCTGATTCACCATGAAATAAAAAGCCTTTATGCATTCCGGATGCTAAGCTGCATCTGAGTTCTGTTTGGAATTGATTGTGTGACTGCTAAAAGACAGCGTTAGAGGAGGAGGGGTGGTGGGAATAGACTTACTGTGGGTGAAAATTGTGTTTATGTGCATTTGCTCTGTTGCTGCACCATGTGTCTCCTTCGGTGTTTGTTTCAGTTTGCTGTGTGTTGCAACAACTTTACAGAGTGTGAGGTCTGTGTCTGATATAGAACCTCCTCCCGCCCCACACACACACACACACACACATACACACACACACAGACGCACACTCCTCCTTCATGCCACTCAAACTCACAGATTTGCTTTTTTTCTGTGTCTGTTTACATTATTCAGAGAACTCCCATTTGCTCACCATCCAGCCTGATCTGACAACTACCACCACCAGTTACCAAGGCACCCTGCGCTCTCGCCATGATGCTGCTGGGAAGTTTTCAATGACCAACGGGCCCCTGCTGGACCCGCTTCCCAATGGTTCACACACTCTGCACAATGGCAAGCTAAATTCAGACCCTGCTGAGTTTGTAAGCAGGCTGTCCACCCAGACCTACTTTAAAACACTCCCTCGTGATGTGGCCAACACCACCTATGGGACCTTCAACTTCCTGGGTGGGAGACTCACTATACCCAACACAGGTGGGTTCTTTATTTATATGTATGGCCTGTCAGTGTTCCCTAGTTAACTAAATATAAAAAGAATGAAAAGCTCCTGTCTTGTTTTCAGAGTCGTTATACTTGTTTTACTGGTTCCCAAGTAATGCTTCCTACCATTATTATCACTATTTTAAAGTTTATTTACTCTAAAACCACTTTTGGTAAGGTCACTATTAAAAATATATTATTAGCTTTTATTTGTCTGTAGTTTCATTACTGTAGTTAGTGATTTTTTAAAATGTTTTCTTCATTTGCACTGTATGAGGAAAACATGGATCGAAATCCTGTCTCCCATGGCAAGATTTTAACATTCTTTGAAGACTTTCCAATTATTAGTGACCCTACGTGTGATGATAAAAAAATCACAACTGTAACAGTGTTGGGCTTACACAAAGCCAAATAATAGACACATTTATAACACACCTTGAAGTCGCCAAGTGGTCTTGTGGTTTGCGAAGCCCTCAACAGTTCCAAACCAGTAAATATGATCGGCTTCCGACAGGACTGAACGCTAAAGCAACCCTTTTCTCATCTCCACAATCTAAGGATGTTGTTTATAATTTGAGATTTTTCTGTTCTCTGCATGCTGACATAGGGATGCTGTGATTTTTGTCCTACTTAAAGATGTCAGAGCGCTGATCCTGCTTACCTTCAGATCTACATCCTCTAACAAAGCATGAATTATATTTGTTTCCAGGATTTAAAGTTAAAGTCCCTTTATTCATCACATGGTGAAATTTGTACTCCACATTTGACCCATTCCTGGGGGGAGCAGTGAGCTGCAGACATGGCAGCGCTTTGGAACTATTTGGTGGTTTAACCCCTCAATCAAACCCCTTAATGCATAGTGTCAAGCGGGGAGGCATTGGGTCCCATTTTTAAGATTTTTGGGTATGACCAGACCGTGGATTTGAACCACTGCACACACATACCAACCCGCCCTACCTTCTCCGCTGACATCAACGACGCATGGCAGCGCAGCAAACCGCGGGGCTTCCCTCTGCTGATACTGACGAGAAACGGTAGCGGAGCACGGCAAACCTCCCCACCCCCGCTCTCACGGTCCGGCCCGCAAGGCTTATCAAGTTCCAAAATAAAAGTTTAATCGTTTTTTCTGGCCGTGACATCGTCTCATTTGGATGTTTAACAATTAAAATGTGGGCTTCTTATTACAATATATCATTACTGTAATAAAATAGTATTAGTGGAATAAAAAAACATTTCCATATGCCATCTGAATAGAAAACTCAAATGACCCTGCCTGGATTTGGACCTGGGTCCCCAGTGTGTAAGGCAGATGCCTCACCAGTTGAGCAGTCACTTTGACATGAAGTCATCTAGTGGATGTACACTTATAACTGATTCACAACATGCTGTATGTTAAACTACACGTAACTAGTTGTCAAGACAAATATTTATACATTGAACCACCACCTTATCGTGGTGAAGGAGTTTGAGTGCCCTAAGGATCCTAGGAGCTATGTTGTCTGGGGCACTTTGTGCCTTTGGTAGGATAACCCATGGCAAATTGGTCCTAGGTGAAGAGTGAGACAAAGTGCAGTTTCGAAGAATCTTCATGGAAGTGAGATCGAAGAGCCAGAGTACCCAGCCTGGAGGGTTACCAGGGGATGGGGAGCTGTTGACGTCAACTGGGGCTATAGTCAGGAGGTGGAAGGAATACTTTGAGGAGCTCCTCAATCCTACTGACACACATTCTAGGAGGAACCAGAGCTGGGAGACCTGGGGATGGACTGTCCAATCTCTGGGGCAGAAGTTGCTGAGGTAGTCAAACAACTACGCACCGGTGGAGCCCCTGGGGTGGATGAGATCGGACCTGGGTATCTCATGGCTTTGGATATTGTAGGACTGTCTTGGTTGACACGTCTCTGCAACATTGCGTGGTAGGGATGTCCCGATCCAATCACATGATCGGAAATTGGCCCCGATCACGTGTTTTCAGACTGATCTGGACTCGGGCTTTACTTCCCGATCCAAGCCCCGATCCGGACTGGATACTGGGTTCAAATTACAGGAGAGTAACTTGGTTCTCCTGTAAGCTTGTCAGGCCCCCCCGATACCCTTAACTTACACACCCAGAAGAGATCCAATTTCTACCTACATTATATGGACTCTGAATCTTCTGAGCAGAGATGCAGAGAGCGGCAGGCAGACCGCTGATTATTCATGAACTCCAGCTGCGTTCTGCACACGCCCACAGTAACATTTTCTAAGTTTCTAAGTGGCGTCACCAAAAATATATAATTAACACACAGTCATTCGTGTCCGTTCATTTTCTCTCTGGTAAGTTCTGTCTGTGTTTGAGCATGACGTGTGGACGCGCTCGCGCTGCAGCGCTCGTCACTGGCGCAGCCGGGCAGCGCAGCGCACACTCCGCTTTTTTTACAGTCAATAGATCAATTTGATCTGCTGGTTAAAAAGTTACTTGTGAGGTGAAAAAGAAGGAAGCGGGCAGGAGTTTTTCTGGAGGACTGGGAGATGCAGGATGATCAGAGACAGACAGGACAGGAAGATAGGAAAATAAAAACCAAGAAAACAAAACAAAGTTCTTAAAAAAATAAAATGTAGGTAGATTTATCCCACTACACGTTTGTACCTGTATGAAGCAATAATTTATCGGCATGTAGTTTTTATATAGTTGATACAATTCAGATCGACTGCAAAACTCCGTCCCATGCTCAGGGGCGTATCTAAGCATTTTGGGATCCGAGGCAAAATAGCCCCCGCCAGGTATTTAAAGTTGAAGTGCTATTTGTTTTTATATTAGACTTTTTATATTTGCAATAAAGTCCAAAAGTAAAGAATTTATGTTATTTATTACTTGATTGTTCAAGCTACCTCACAGAAGTGATCTGTTGATAAAAATTAAAATAAGAAGGTAATTAAATAAAAAATAAGGAACATTCTGGAACTGTTTCTTCCTTTTCTTTCTTCTTTTTATGTATCGAAAGTATCGGATCGGGACTCGGTATCGGCAGATTCTCAAAATCAAATGACTCGGACCCGAGGGCAAAAAAACCTGATCGGGACATCCCTATTGCGTGGTCATCATGGGCAGTTCCTGTGGAGTGGCAGACTGGGGTGGTGGTCCCAAGTTTTTAAAAAGGGGACCAGAGTGTTTTCCAACAATAGGGGGATCACACTCGTCAGTCTCCCGGGAAAGGTCTACTTCAAGGTACTAGAGAGGAGGGTCCGGTCAATAGTTGAACCCCAGATAGAGAAGGAGCAATGTGGTTTTCGTCCTGGCCGTGGAACTGTGGACCAACTCTTTACCCTTGCTAGGGTGATGGAGGGGGTAATGGGAGTTTGCCCAACCAATCCACATGTGTTTTGTGGATTTGGAGAAGGCTTATGACCATGTACCCAGAGGCACCCTGTGGATGGTATGCCAGGAGTACGGGGTGGATGGTCTTTTACTAAGGGCCATTCAGTCCCTGTACCAGAGAAGTGTGAGTTTGGTCCGCATAGCCGGCAGTAAGAAGGACCTGTTCCCAGTGAGGGCTACCCTATGTCACTGCTCCCGTTCATAACGTTTATGGACAGGATTTCTAGGCACAGCCATGGTGTTGAGGGTGTGGAGTTTGGTGGCAGGAGAATCTCATCTCTGCATAATGCGGATAATTTGGTCCTCCTAGCATAATCAGGCTCTGACCTACAGCTCTTGCTGGGGAGGTTCACAGCTGAGTGTGAAGCGGCTGGGATAAGGATCAGCACCTCCAAGTCTGAGACCATGGTTCTTGATTGGAAAAGGGCGGCTTGCCAACTCCAGGTCGGGAGAGTGGTCCTGCCTCAAGTGGAGGAGTTCAAGTTTCTCGGGGTCTTGTTCACGAGTGAAGGAGCGGGAGATCGCGATTGGATTGTGGCAACGTCTGCAGTGATGCGGAAGCTGAACTGGTCAGTTGTGGTGAAGAAGGAGCTGAGCCGGAAGGCAAGGCTCTCTATTTACCAGTCCATCTACCGCTCAGTCCTCACCTATGGTCATGAGCTTTGGGTAATGACCGAAAGAACAAGATTGCGGATACAATTGGCCGAAATGAGTTTTCTCCACGGGGTGGCTTGGCTCAGCCTTAGGGATAGGGTGAGGAGGGTGGAGTAGAGCCGCTGCTCCTCCATATCAAAAGGAATTAGTTGAGGTGGTTTGGGCATCTTGGTAGGATGCCTCCTGGATGCCTCCCCAGGGAGGTGTTTCAGGCATGTCTTGCCGGGAGGAGGCTCCCTGGTCGACCCAGGACACGTTGGATAAAGTATATCTCCAAAATGGCCCAGGAATGCCTTGGGGTCCTGCCGGAGGAGCTGGTGGAGGTAGCCAGGGAGAGGTTGGTCTGCAACTCCCTATTTGGGATGCTGCCCCCGCGACCCAGACCCGGATAGACAGAATAAGATGAGACGAGATGAGATGTAGCTGTAGACATAAAAATATAGCTGAATGGATTTTTAGGGAATTTTCTGTTACATATGTTTTAACAAATTTAAGACATCCGACTATAACCATTCTTTGCACTGGACCCCGTTTTGCCTTCAGAACTATTGTTTGCTGTAAGCGTCAGCCGGCGTAGCCATGTATCTTTTGCTTAGCCGGGCACTTGATACTATCGTGAAAGCTTTGTCCCACCCTACAGCACAGAGTACTAACATATGATTGGTCCGGCCTATTTTAGGCCGGAGGTTGGACAGTTTGAACTTGATCGGTACAAGATGGATTTTCCTAAGTTTGGAAAATTCCAAATCTTGCGACAGTTCATCTTGCAGCACAAGGTTACACACATACTTCCAATCTGTAAACACCCTGATGTGTTTGGTGCTGTGTGTTCATTTTAACCATTTGTAACACCGGCTCGGGGTGGGATGTGGGGAGTCTGTGTCACTCACTCAGGCTCCTCCAAAAAGAAACCAGCTCTAATCGGGGCAGCAGTAGCTCAGGTGGTAGAGCGGATTGCCTCATGATCGGAGGGTCATGGGTTCGA